TATTAATAATTATTTATTTAACAGAGCAGCCAGTAAGCGCCCCGGGTCATTGGGAGATAGGCGCTTGTTATTTATTAATGATTATTTATTCAACAGAGGGGCCAGTAAGCGCCCTTGGTCATTGGGTGTTAGTGCTTGTGTAATTAAAAATTATTTATTTAACAGAGCACCCAGTAAGCGTCCCAGGTCATAAGGTGATAGGCACTTGGGTTATTAATAATTATCTATTTAACAGAGTGGCCAGTAATCGCCCGGGGTCATTGAGTAATAGGCTTTTGTGTTATTTATTAATAATTATTTATTTTGAAGAGTGGCCAGTAAGAACCCAGGGTCATTAGGTGATAGGCGCTTGTGTGATTAATAATTATTTTATTAACAAAGTGGCCAGTAAGTGCCGCGGGTCATTAGGAGATAGGCGCTTGTGTTATTTATTAATAACTATTTATTTAACGAAGTAGCCAGTAAGCCCATTAGATCATTAGGTGATAGGCGCTTGTGTGATTAATAATTATTTATTTAACAAACTGGCCAGTAAGCTTCCTAGATCATTCAGTGATAGGCGCTTGTGTTATTAATAATTTTTTATTTAACAGATTTGCCAGTAAGCGCCCCGGGTCATTAGGTGATAGGCGCTTGTGTTATTAATAATTATTTATTCAACAGAGTGGCCAGTAAGTGCATGCGCATTGGTTTCTAACAATTTGACATTTTTAGGTATCTTACAGGTCACTTACATGTAGAGTAAGAAACCTCTTATTTACCCGTGTGTTCCAGTAGCGCTCCCCGACAATTTACCGACAACTTAATCATGACGCAAGATATCGTAAGACATAATTAAGTTGTCGGTCAGTTGTGGGATAGCGTTACTGGAACACACCCTACGTCGTTTACCCACCACTCGCTGGAACAAACCTTGTGATTCCTAATATGTCCATGGTGCTTCCTTATTCCTCGCTGTTACTGTATTTGCAATATTTGCATGCAGATAACAGACAGAGATTTCTAACGCCAATGCTACGATACGAGACGACGTTTTGGCACTGATTGGAGCGCCCCGCCGCAGCCAGCCGTCGAACCGGGTGCACATTTTACTACTCGTATCGGACAACGTGCGCCTAAGAGAAGAGGAGTGGATTCGCGCAGTGTTGGCGGTACGCCTAAGAGAAGAGGAGAGGATTCGCGTGAAAATGACCGTATAGGCGCACATTTTGTAGAGACGTGGAAGGGGTATATCGAATGTGTGTCTACGAGGAGAGGAGTGGAAATGTTGACCATAGCTATATATCTGATCGCACAGCCAAACTAAGCGACGACACGAGTTTTTCTCTTTTGACTGCAACCGAGTATATCGTACGTGTATTGAACTGATTTTTTCTCCCGCTCTTTTTTCTTTTTTTCCTACTTTTAATACTCATTTTGAAGTTCACGATTATTTTGAAAAAAAATTTCATCTATTTTTTAAAAAGATTTATTATGCTTCAGCTATTATTATGAAATTGCGAAATGGCCTTGCCAACGAGAAGTATAAACTTACGAAATTATTAAATAGATTTAGTAGAAAAAATATATTTATTTCAACGTACCAAAAAAAAAAAAAAGTTGGCAACATTATTTATAAATTTAAATAAAACGCTAATAAAAGAAATTTAACCAGAACAATTAACAATGAACTGCATTGAAAAAAAATCTGCAGAAAGTTGGAACCGATCCCGTGATAGCAAAACAATTTGAGCGGCGGCATAAGGATCAATTAACTTAGCTACCGTAACTTCGGCTTTTAGGTACCTGAAAGCCACTTATGTTCTTTGATAAACTTCGGAGCTTGTCCTATAGTTCATCACAATTATGAGGAAAATAATAAATTTTTTTTCAAAATAATCGTGAACTCCAAAATGAGTATTAAAAGTAGGGAAGAAAGGAAAAAGAGCAGGAGAAAAAATCAGTTCAATGCATATACGATATACTCGGTTGCAGTCAAAAGAGAAAAACTCGTGTCATCGCTTGTTTTGGCTGTGCGATCAGATATATAGCTATAGTCAACATTCCTACTCCTCTCCTCGTAGACACACATTCGGTATACCCCTTCCACGTGTCTCCAAAATGTGCACCTATATGCTCATTTCCACGCGAATCTACTCCTCTTTTTGTTGGCGCACGCTGTCCGGTGTCCGATGCGAGTAGTAAGATGGGCGCCCGGTTCGACGGCTGGGCGCGGCGGAGCGCTCCGATCAGTGCCAAAAAGTCGTCTCGCATCGTAGCATTGGCGTTAGCAATCTCTCTACTCATCTCTGTTATAGAGGCTCTATGCAGGTTTTGTGCCACGGTTACCTCGTTCCGAACGAGTCCTGAGTCCTGAGCCCCACCATCTACAAAACGAAAAAGAGAAAATAAGTACGTGATTGTATACTCTCTGCCTAGTCCACAAAAAAATTTAGATTACAAGCACTCAAGTTCATTTGACATGGGATTTTGATCATTGTTAAATGTTTACATGATTTAATTTATAACTGATTTAGTGCCAATCAAAATTTCCTAGTTTAAAGTGCCCATTCAAGTTTCATTAGTTCTACATCTTATATCATTTTTTTCGGCTTACTGAATCTTATGTGTATGGAATCAACTTACGACACACCAATTAAAAAATTGAAACAAAATGTGAGTCTTCACGTGGCTGAGTGTATTCGGCAATTTGAATTGCCACAACAGTTTCCCAGTACCATTACTGAACTTCATTCATCCAAAATAGAATCTGATTTTGATGCATCATGCATGAAAACACAGAAGTTGCCTAGTGTTTCACCGGCACCTTTATCTATAATGAAGTTTATACCAACTAAAGAATTACCTTTTTTTAATAATCTTAAAAAAATTAAGTTAAAACTGCCAGATGGAACAGATGTAGGGGAGGTAAAAATTGTCCTTCCAAAAACTAATGAAAACGTCAAAGCTAAATGTATCACATTATCTAATTTGGGTAAAAAATCAGAAACATCTGTCACATGGGCCATTGAATCAAACTTATCTATTGAAAAAGACCCAAAAGTTGAAACTATTACGAAAATTCTTAACAGTTCAACTTCGAAAACTAGTGTTACATCACAAAAAACATCTTTACCAAACATAGATGCACAATTAATTAGTAGCTCAGAAACTGCTGATACAGGTTCACCATTTACAGATACTAATGATTCTCTAAGAAAAAATACAAATCTGCAAAAATTAGCTGTTAAACATTCTAATTTAGTACTCTTTAAGCACGTTAAAGAATCACAGGTAAATAATTTAAATAGTTGTTCGGGGCCCCAAGAAAAATTGATAAAACATAGATCAAATCAGATTTTCCAACCATTAACAAACAGGTCACGGTCGTTAAAAATCTTTAAAACAAACCTTACAGAATCTGACAATATCACAAATAAAAAAAAAATAATTTTCAAACGTTATGTCAATAATTGTTCTCTGAAAAGAGATAGTTTATTGATGGAGGATTTGAATCAATCACTATCTAGAAATCCTAATTCATCAAGTGAATGTGTGAGTTCCAATTGTAACTCAGATATGAAAACCTTTTATAACAAATCAAAAAATTTTCCAAATATCCTTTACAGAAATAAGACACTTGATAAAAATATGGTTAAAACTCTTGATAATAGTGCTGAAAAATCAAGACTTACATCATTTCACCCTAACTTTCAAACAGATAACATTAGTAACACAAAATGTATGACCACCAATGATGAGGTTAAAGTTTACAAAAAGAAAATACAAATTTTAGATAAAAAGAAGGAATTAGCGAGAGAAAAACTAAGCATCTTAGAAAAAGCTGTTCTTACTATTCAAGATAGTTCTCTCAGAGTAAAAGCCTTAGCTGCTCTTAAAGATTGCGGTATTAAAACAAAAAAAAAAGTCCCACTTAAACGTTTGTTAAATTCGAAAATTATAAACGAATCTCAAACGCAAACTGAAATATTTTCTTTGTTAAAAGAAAAAGAACTTATTCTTGTCACAGAAAAGTCTGATGGTCTATCAAGAATTAAACAAAGAGGTATTGTTATGAAGCAGGCAATTAATGCACTCTACAATGGAGAGTGTGGGAATCAAATCTATTCAAAAGATAAAGAAAAATTTAAACACGAACTAGATGAGTTATTAGAACAAATATTTCCACAAAGTATGGGTCTATTAAAAATAAAAAAAGTTTTATCAGAATCACAAACAGCTTTTATCAAAACAATAATGAATCAACTTCAAGCTGATTTAGAAGCTTCTATTAGTTATGATGACAACGGTTATCTTGCGATTCATAGAGCAATCAAGAACAACAACACAATAGAAGTACAAAAAAATATTATAATATTGAAAGCAGTTGGAAAAAGTATTGACATATGTACTAAAGATGAACAGGTAATACAGACTTATGTTTTATATATTTTTATTTTTAGATAAGCTCTAGTCAAAATTTGTACTTTAAGGTAGTTTTTTCATGACTTGAGTTGAAGGTGCCCCTATCAAATTGATATTTAATCAAAAACTGCGTAAAATTTAAACAATAACTTCTAAATATTATTTATAGAATTAAATTAAGTACTCATTCAAAATTTTAGTTCCAATAGTAATTCCATACTAGCTAGGAAAGATTAAAGTCAGCTCGTCAATGTGCCACGTGTATGGGTCATTCTACCGAAAACGGTATGTATTTTATGTTGCAACCGATTACAACGTTGTTTAAAGAGATATCGATCTGGAAATTTTTTCAATTATTTAAGGGTCTTAAACTGCTGAAGGTACAACAAAATTCAGACCAATTAAAAAGTATTCCTTCAAGATTCAAGATGCAAAAAGAGGGCTAAATTAGCATTACGGGGGCTCGTATCTCATTCGTACATTAACAGTTTTGAAGGTGGTTTGCTAGTGGGTTTGTTCACAGTAGTAGCAACTCGATACATGTATGTACATACAATGCATACATCGAGGTCTTGCGCTCTCGTTGTGCATGCGCAAGTGCGCAAGAAACGTAACGTATGAAGTCATGTAAGGTAAAATGGGGTATAGTTGGACAATGCAGAAATTGCAGGGTATAGTGGGACAGGAGAAGAAACTCGTAACTGGTAAATTCATTTGTCAAAAAATATCCTTCAAAAAATTTCCTAATATTTCTTTATCTTTTAGCTAGATAAGACTCCCAAAATTGATAGTGGTAAACATTGAAGGGAGAATGAATAAAATATTTTATCAAGCTGTCCAAGTACTCGTTTGATGCATACGTCTTAAACGAGGCATTTCGCCCATTTTAGATGTGACACTAAAGTTGTCTATCAAGATGATATACCGAAAATACAATTTTTTTCGTATGTTCAAACTATTTATACGTAATAAAATGACACTCAAGAATAAGTTTTATTAATTAGATCTTAAAAATGATTACTTTGTCATAAAATACAGCCTGTCCTAGTATATCCTTATTTTCTGCAAACACCATGTAGAAGTGGGACGAGGTTTATCATTGCTGTTCCACGACTGCATCCTTTTTTTAAAAACTAAGTAGTAGAGGAACAAGTACTTGACAAGACCAAATTCTATTTTTAACGACTGTGATTTCATGCTTTTTACTATAGTAATCGTGCGAGTGTCATCAGTCTAATCTTTAATAGTGAAATTAAACTTAAATATTTTTGTAGGATTAGTAGTTAAGTGAATGAGAGTATTGTTACCTGGTAAATAAACATAATCTGAAACCTAACCTCAATGCAATCTGTATTAATCCATCCTACCCAATGTAAAAAAATCAACTTTGCAGAAAATGATATATATTTTTAATAATTAATTTTCATCATACTAATATTGAAAAAAAACTGAACAAAATCAATACCTCTGAAAATAGTCAACAGAAAAATACAGGTATTAGTTTACTCACATTATATTTTCATTTGGTATTTCAGCCTTTAAAACTTGCTTCTTATCTCCACAGAAGAATCAAATAATTCTCCATTAAAAAATATATTTTCTGTAACCAATCTTAATTTTAAGATCAAGAAGGAAGCAGCTAAGGA